ATCTTCCCAATCGATCTCATGACATGATTTGTTGAAAATCATATCATATAATGACAAAGAAGAAAAATGGACAATCACCACCTCTTTTCCAATATTTGATGAAACATAATAAACATCTACCATGACTTAATGTGCCTAATATTAAGAGCATTTGGCAAAATTTCTACTTCTGAATAAATTTTTGGGTAAGCTACCATATGTCAGCTTTAGCTAAAAGTTATCTTAATCAAATAAAATATCTTCAAAAAATTACCCAAAACACGTTTAAAAATAACTTTTGACTTTTCAAAAAGTGTACCTCATGTGAATAGGTAGACGAAGAAAAGAGTAGTACAAAAATATATGATGCACAAATTACGTTTATATTTGTGCAAATGAGGTATTTAGTCGTAAATAGAACGCTAATGTGAACAAATAATTATAATGTTGACAAATATTATCCTAAAAATTAATAAAATGTAATGTGATAAATTTTTAGCTAGAAGAAGCAAGCCCATGTGAGGAGACGTGTGAATTCCAAATCATTGACGTTAAGTTTGCACAATGACGAAAAAGAAAAAGAAAAAAAGAATTTTCAAACTATTGACCGTCAAAGTCCTAAAAATTATAAGCACAAAATAAAACAAGAGGTAAAAAAATATAGGATTATGCTACATGTACATTATGGTACACATAATAATGTGCATAATATATATGTGGCGTCCCCCTATTGGGGGAACACCTGGCCCACAGCCACTCCCCCCAATAGGAGGGTACCACATGTACATTATGGACACCCTTATGTGTACCATAATATACATGTAACATTATTCAAAAATATAATCCCCTTCTTTTTATATGTCAAAATTATTTTTATTACACATATTATTTAAATCTTGGAGAGGGAAAATATTTATTAAATTCCGATTCGCAATGAAAAATACAATGAACAAAATTTTAATTTTTTAATTCTTTAATTTGATTTAACCGAACCTACCCTACCCCACCCCACCCCAACCCAACCCAAGCCAACCCACCCCACCCCTAGTAGGTAGATGAAAAAAGTTTTCATTCACTCTAAGCCAGCCACTGTGTGACTTTTTGCCCACCAAAATCAAGTTGCAATTCCCACTAAACCGAATATAAAGAAACCCACAAGACCAAAATAGCATACAAATCTTCAACATTGCTCTCTTGTTTGTAGCTCCTTATCATGGGAACTTTACAAGTTGAGACTCATCCCACCACCACTGCCGCCATCGCCAACCACTACGACTCGAAAGAGCATGGACTCAGCAGTGGTGAAGACGATGACGAGTCACCTATTGAAGAAGTTCGGCTAACCGTATCCAACTCTGATGACCCTAGCCTACCCGTATGGACATTCCGAATGTGGTTCTTGGGCCTATTGTCATGTGGGCTACTATCATTTCTCAATCAATTCTTCTCCTACTGCACTGAGCCACTTGTCATCACACAGATAACTGTTCAAGTTTCCACTCTCCCCATTGGCCACTTCTTGGCTGCAACACTGCCTACCACCAAGTTCCGGATTCCGGGGTTCGGAGCCAGATTGTTTTCTCTGAACCCGGGTCCGTTTAACTTGAAGGAGCATGTACTTATATGTATATTTGCTAATGCTGGAAGTGCTTTTGGTAATGGCTCGGCTTATGCCATCGGAATTGTTACCATTATTAAGGCTTTTTATCGTCGGAAAATATCGTTCTTGGCCGGTTGGTTGCTTATCATCACCACTCAGGTCACTTACTCTCTCTCTCTCTCTCTCTCTCTCACTCACTCACTTTCTCTGCACACACACACACCTAAAACATTTCAATTCAGTCTTTTGTTGGGAGAAGACTGTTTTTCTTGTCAAACTCGATCATTCCAAGATAAAAAAATGTTCACCTGGAGTTGAACCATACAGTGGACCGATTTTTTTACATTCTCAGTTCTCGATTTTGCGGTTAAATTGGATATCATGTTAGGAATATTGGGTCTAACTCCACCTAATAAAACCGACTTATTAGGGAGGATAGTCTTCACCTTATTAAGTGGATTATTTATATTTTCTCAATCAATGTGGGATTCTAATATGCCTCCTCACGCACAGCGTTGACTATGCCAAACAACTGTGAACAAATCGATATTAGGTGGCACCCAACATTGCATAATTGGGCCTAACTCTGATACCATGTTAGGAATATTGGGCCTAACTCTACCTAATAAAACCGGCTTATTAGGGGAGGATTGCCCTCACTTTATTAAGTGGATTATTTATATTTTCCNTCTATTTATTAAGTGGATTATTAATATTTTCCCAATCAATGTGAGATTTTAATACGCCCCCTCACGCTCAGCGTAGACTATTCCAAACAACTGTAAACAAATCGATATTGGGTGACACCCAACATTGCATAATTGGACCTAACTCTGATACCATGTTAGGAATATTGGGCCTAACTTTTTGAGTTCTTTCTCAGTGTCAAATTATACAATTCCTACTAGCAGAATTGACCCTAATTTGCTGTGAAAATCAAGAAATCATTCTTTTTGTTTTTTATATAAATTTATTGAAAATAAAGCAAATTGCATGTGGGTTGAACTTGGCAGGTGTTGGGATATGGTTGGGCAGGGCTGTTGAGAAAATATGTAGTTGAGCCGGCTCACATGTGGTGGCCCAGTACTCTTGTTCAGGTCTCACTTTTTCGGTAAGTAAGGGGCTCTGTTATCTTTGGGTTACAGTTTTGTGTTTTGAGTTTTGAATTCATTTTGTATTTTGAATTTTGAGTGTTCATTTTTGAGATTGTTGAAAATGTGTTCTTTTTTACATTTAGAAAAATAGTTTTAAAAACACCTAAAACGCGTTTTGAAAATTTTGGTTTGATTATAATTGAAAACTCTCATTTTGTCGTTTTGGGTTTTTTTTTTGTAAAATTTTAACTTGTTTCAAAAATGCGTTTTGAAAATAGGAAAGAGAACGTATTTTCACTGCTTTTAAAAATCGAAAACGGAAAACGACTTGAAAATGGTAAGGAGAACATACCCTAACTTATCTAATTTGCACCATTATTATGGGAGGCGGGTTCATAATTCAGTATAAACAAGATGTGTGCTAGTACAATCCAATAGACATTATAATATGCGAGTGTTGAATCTGTATTTCATAATTCAAATAGGTTAAAAAATGATGAAATTTTACTATTAAGAGAGGGGTTGGCAGCAGGGAAAAACATGGGATTCTTTAAGGGTTCACATGCAAGGTTTAGCCAGCTTGCAACTTTAAAACTAGTTTTCCCACTTGCACTTTCATGCATTCAACAATTGTTGAGATTCCTCAAATCTTCAAATCTTGTATTTCGGCTACGTTCAGGGACTAGTGTACTGCACATATAGTCGACTTCTAATGAATGTGTTCGCTAAAAAGTGCTCCGTTTTGAGTATGAATTTTTGATTTCTCGATAAATGTATACTTTCGATTACATAACTTTAATTAGTTTAATTCCAACAATAAAAAGAAATATACAGACAATAAAGATTTTAATTTTGAAAAATAACTAAAAATCTACAAAATAAGAAAGTATAAAAACTTGGAAAACTTCGAAGGAAAACGTGGTTGGAATTCATAGTTTCATTTAATTGTCGTCTGATTAATTTTTTCACAGGCCAATTAATAAATTATTCATTTACTATGTTAGACCCGATTTTTCAATTTTAGTTAATTATATCTCTTGAGCGAAATTAATCCTAATTGATTGGTTAACATACTATATTTCTATGTCGAATAAAATCGAACAATCGTATTAAATCTTTGTGATAATAGCTCAATGCGTCACTTAGTGTTAGATGTACAAATGGCTAAACTTAGGGTATTTACTATTTCTTTTAAAATGTACAATCTTCTTTCGAACGATGTACAAATGACTAAACTCAATCATTTAATGACCAAATAAATGTAAGGCATTCAACACACTAACAAATACACATGAAAATAAACATTTT